TGAGAAGGAAAAAAGAGATAAGTAAAGCTGGAAAAACATGAAAAGAAAAACAAACAAAAAAAAGGTGTCAGGATAGGAAAACCTAGGGCAGGACGAGAAATAAACCCATCTGGCTCGGGGGGAGGACATGTAGAGAAGGAACAAGCAGTAACACTGCAGTGTTTCTTGAGGGCACCATATGACAGAGGATCTTGAATGCTTGGACCAGAGTCACTGGAAGCTTTTGAGCGAGTGTGGCATAGTAGCTATTTTAAATAAAACACTTGGGTGACAGTGATCAAGATAGATTGTAGTAGGGAGACAGTAGGCAAGGAGAGAGACCAGGGAAAGTATTTCTCTATTTGCTGATTTTAATAGAGAGATTTAAATGTTATTCAAAAAATTTCTAGTTTCCTCTGTTTGCAAACTATATATACTTTGCAGATCTTTGTACTATATATTTTGAACACTAAGATTTCAGGCTAAAATTCAGCTGCCTTGAATAACAAAGAGCTACACTGCTTAATGAATGGATGCCCTAAGTCTCTGACCCTTTGTCCTAGGACAGGCTGATGCAGGTGACACCAGAGTAAGTGGGGAGCTACAGGGAGGGAGAGGTTTGTGCAAAATGAGTACACGAAAGTCTGCTCACCTTTAAGCTCTGGACTCTTGGGACTGAGGGTCAATCTTGCTGTACAATAGGCATGAAAATGGACACTGGCCCATATGCCCCATGGCCTTCAGAAAAACAGTAGATAAAGGATAGAAAAAAAAAAGTTGGACAGTTAATGAAATGCAGTATTCTATACTGTTATCATTGAACCATCTGCTCCTTCATTTAGCAGTAAAGTGAGTGTATTTACTATAAAGAGACTTGGCATTTTAAGCCTATATAAGAAATAAGAAGACACCCTGAAATATGTCCCTTGGCTAACTAGACATCTGCTTGGAGAGATGGGACTGGTAAGCCTGTGTTAAGACAGATATGTCTTATTCTTAATCCTACCAGTTGGCTAAGGAACCTAAACTCAAAACTGAGGCCCTCTCAGAGCTGAGGAATAGGGTGTGATCTCATTCCTAAGTGGCAAGAAAATCAAAAAGGAAGGAAGATAGGTAGATCAAAGAAGTGACAGGGGACTTTAGAAGATCAGAAGGTAGCTACCTAAACTCTGGAGTAATTGGCCCTACCTTAGTTCTCCCTGTCTTACCTGTGATCCAGGAAGTGGCTATAGGACAGCCACTGATGATGGGACGGTTGAAGTGAGGGAGTCAAGAGTGGGGGTTGGGGCGGTGGGGGAGGTAAGGAGCACAGTGGCATGGGATTGATGACCTAGTAATGGGTAGGGATCTTTTCCTGTGAAGAATATGCTCTGAGACAAACTAACTGAAATTTTAGCAGTTATGAAACATTTTACCTTTGTTTACATTTTAAACTACTAGAAATAGGTATAAATTAAATGCTTTAAAAAAAACGAATCTTATCTCATTATTATTATGTCAAGGCCCTGTTCCCATGAGAAAAGTTAGGGACAGTATAAAGAATCATTATTATGATTTTTCTTAGAAATCATAATAATTGCTTTAAATAACTTTCTGTTTTAGTGCTATATAGTTTGTATTAATAATTACTAGCTTAATTGAAGGTTACATTTGCATAATACTTCATTCTCTTATCAAAACCTTTCCCATATATTCTCTCATCTCAGTCTCCTAATATCTAAAGCTAAGAGAGAAATTCTGTTTCTCAGTTTAGGGACCAGAATTCTGAAACTCGGTTGGATATTAATCAGTAATGTCTTTTATTGAGTGATTAAACATAAAGGAACCATGCTATGCTCCTTATATGTATTATCTCATTTAATCTTCATGATTAAACCATGAGATTAACATCTCTATTTCCTCTGGTTCTAAAATACTACAAGCTGAGATATGATTGATTCCTAAGTCTGTGGTTTTGAAATCACTACAATTTACTCAAGATGTCACTTACCTAAGCTCCCTGAGCTAGTGTGACAGAAGAGGAAATAGGAATAATCTATTTGTTCTTAATTTTCCCATCTAACCCTAATGGAGAACTTTTATAAAATAGATGATCAATCTTTTAAAAAATCCTTGCATATTGATTTTTAAAGTATATATTTAAATAGTTTGTATAAAAAATTCTCTTTTTTAATTCTAAAGATTTAATTGTTTTAAGCAACCCATTTGTCTTCATCATTCCTTTATATATATATATATATATATTATATATATATATATATATAGCAGAACTCATTAGTTGGAAAAATCACATAGAAATACTTAGAATTAAAATAAAGTTAGCAATTTTGCATTGAAATATGGGTGTTCAGTTCAATTCAGTGAGTTAATTTTGAGTGTTTAGTATTTATAATGTGCTTCAGTCTACACAAAGACAAGTAGGCAGTATCCCTCTCTGAAGAAATTTTCATTCCTTCTTTACAGGGTTATGCTTAATAGATCTGAATTTTATTGACAGAGATTACTGAGATGCCTAAGTATGATTTCTGTTCTACTTTGGGGGAAGGATATCAGAAGAGGAGAAATGGTTATGTGCAGATTGAGGTATATACTCATAAAACTGTGGGGTGCCTGGGTGGCTCAGTTGGTTAGGCATCTGACTTCAGCTCAAGTCATGATCTCATAGCTCATGAGTTCAAGCCCCATGTCTGGCTCTGTGCTGACAGCTCAGAGCCTGAAGCCTGCTTCAGATTCTGTGTCTCCCTCTCTCTCTGCCCCTCCCCCACTCATGCTCTGTCTCTCTCTCAAAAAAAAAAATGAATAAACATTTTTAAAAAACTGTAAGACAAAAAAAGAATCTAACAGTTACTATGAGGGAGAAAAACGAGTACTTTGGAGGAGAATGAGAAGGGAACCATCATATATTGGAATGGAAGGGGAATCAGCACAGGCCTCAAGACATAGATGATGTTTGAGATGAGCGTAAATGGATGGATAGAAATCCAAAAAGCATATGAGGGCAGGGCATTCACAAAGGTATAGTGTAAGTGAAAACAGAGGCTGTAGTTTTTCTTACACATACTGTGTGCGTAGATTAACAAAAAGGCACAAGGCCAAAAACTGAGACCTTGTTGTAGAAGGTCTTGAATACTAGGATGAGGTTTTTAGGAGCAAATGCAGTGAAGTGGAAGACAAACAGTGGGCTGGAGGTATGAGATATATGTGCAAATTTCAGCAGTGGCATTTATGAATTGAGTGAACTTGAGCAAATCAGTTAATTTCTTTGAGCTTTGACTACCTCACCTGCAATATGGATGCAATAATAATTAAAGGTTGAGTGTGAATTTTAAAACTTGTGTGGAAGTACTCTGAAAACTGGAAAGCACAGCAAGAGTTATCATTGCCATGGTCATCATCATTTTGTTATGTATATAATGGTATGTGAAAATTTTGGAGCAGTAAAGCTCTTCATCTGGATCTGTAGTCTAGGAAAATTAAGTTGGCAGGAGTCTAGTGGATGGATTAATAATAGCAAAAGAAAGAACCAATGAAGAAGCTATTAAAGTAATTCAGGTTAAAAGTAATGAAGGTATGATTAGGATGGTAGAGACTTTGCAGAGATACTGTTCATTCAGAATATACTGAGCACCCGCTCTGTTCCTGGACACAAACTCAGCGGTCCTGCATAACAACCTCAAAAGAGATAAAAGGGATAGATACAGGATAGAACTGACAAAGACTTGAGGAGCAGAGTTCAGTGGAGAGAGGGACATAGAGGGTCACTGGATCTTCCTTTGCTTTCTACTGAAGAAACCTTGGTAACAGCAGAATGGGGAAGGGACATCTCAAATGCATATAAGCTTAAACCACCTACAGCACAGGTGTCGTGGTGGGTGAGATGATAATAAGGTCAATAAATCCTTCCCCAGATGGGTTTGACTCTCTATCTTCTCCCTGTGTGGGTCTGCACTATCCAAGGTATTGAAGGAGGAGATTTACACACACACACACACACACACACACACACACACACACACACACAAAAAGGCACAAGACCATCCTTAAGAATCTCTTTGACTTGAAAAACGTGACAGAATCCCTTTTCTCCAAGAGAGGTGAGAAATGGTCTTCACTTAAAAAGAATTTCTCATTTACCTTAAAACGGATCAACTACTGTTTCTATGCTTGCTTGGGTTTGAAGGTGGAAGGGGAAAAAATAGGGTTAAAAACCTACTTGTAAACTCCAAGTAAGTGTCCTGGTGATCAGAAATTGATTGACTTTAATCGTACAGTCATTTAGTGACTGCAGATCCCTTCTAGGAGGTGGAACTGAAGGAGAAAACTACCAGTGACTAAACAGCCACTCTTTCTCTAACAGTGCAGCGCACTGTGTGTGTCAAAAACATATCACAGAGGATTGTGCATTGAGCTCAAGTTGTATTCCTAATATTGTGCTATAAAAATGGCAAGACACTTCTTTCTCTTTATTTCATAAATGTGGTATGTTTTTTTACTTCTTCATGAAGGTAATTTTTATGAAGACCAGAGTGATGTGTGGGGCTTAATGGAAACTCAGACTAATTTTAGTTTTGAACAAAATAAAACGGTCCTGTAATAATGACTCTAAAGTCAAAAGTACTTTGTACAGTCCTTCAGAAACATCCTGTGAAATTTTGTGGGATGAAGTCCAAGAGAAGCAGCCCCCTTTGTACAGCATTTTCCATAGAGCTTTTACTACTGGGTTGTCCCTTTACTCAGAAGCTTAAATGAAGTAAAAATAGGGCAGCCTTGCAGATCTTTTTAAGATATAAAGGGGCCATGGGGATAGCCCCTTGGAACCAAGAATTGGTAAAATTAGGAAAAGAAATCATGAAAGTGGGTCTCACATCCTTTTTTTAAAAATCCCTTTCATTCTTTATTCATCTCTTGTTCATTCCTGTCCCTTCCATGTATCATTAAGGCAAGCTCGAATACTGTTTTATATGCCACTGACTTTAAATAATCCCTGTACTACAGTGCTGTTTGTTTTTCCCTCTCTTTAGGAGATGACCTGGCTCCCACCACTTTCTGCTATTCAAGCACCTGGCAAAGTGGAACCAAGCAAATTTCCATTTCCAAATAAGGTGAGATCTTGCAACACTCAGGAGGAATAGGCTTCACTCACACAGAGATTTTTAGTGGATAGTGGATTTTCCCTTGGTTGTTTTTTCCTCTGTAAATATCCCTGCCAGAGGCATATGGCTTTGATTTTCAACAATTTGCAAGCATGTATTTATTCATCAAAAGGAGAAAATTAAGCTTTGACTTCCATACTTTCTGCAAAATGTGATGCATATTATAATTGTCATTTTATCTAAAAACATTTGTGAAGTTAAAATGCATCTTACAATCATTTTATACATTCAGTGTGATTGTGTGTCTTTTTTCTTGAAAAGCTATTATTAAATTGATGATGTATCTTAAAATCAATGTCTTAGAATTGAAGACATGTAGTATATAATTCATCTTTTATAAACCTTAAAATATTTTCTAGGACTTTAAAAGACAAATTTCCATATTTTCTAAGGAAAAGCACACACTCAAAAAATCAGCCACAATATGTTTATTTAAATTACATATGAGTCTAATAGGTTTTGTTTTCTATTCTTCACTGTACAACTAACACTTAACTACATATTCATAAAGATAAAATTATGCAAATCTAAGAAGCAAAATGTGAAAGTAGCCAGTACCATCATCCAGATTTTATTTCCCTACCCAGAGTTTACTTTCAAGAGCTTCTCGTGTACCATTTCGTCCATCTTCCCTGTGCATTATATACATACATGTGTATATGCAGTTTTAAAAGACTCTTCAATGGTATAGTTCTAAAAACATTTCTAAGAGCTTATTTTTTTCAGATCCCCTGAATGCGTATCATTACTAAATATCAACATCACAACTTTTAAAGTGAATTATTAAAATAATATTTCATTATAATTATCACAATGGTAAATTTCATTCTAAGAGCTGATTTTTATCTCTCTTAACAAAGTGTATTTGGAGATCTCTCCGAGTAAGTACATGGAGATGTTCTTCGTTATTTAATAGCAGCACAATCTTTTGTCATATGAATTTGTTGTAGTTTATTTGGTTAAGCTCCTTTTGATGGACATTGAGATTGTTTATGGTTTGTCGTTATCACAAGCACTTGCACAACCAACATTTTTTGGTAAATGCGTCTTTGTATACCTCTTATTGAATATCTCTAGTACAGATATCTAGAACAAGAATTGGGTGCTGGAAGCATGAGAAGCCATATTTAAATATTTTTTTAAATAGTTTATTGTCAAGTTGGTTTCCATATAACACCTAGTGCTCATCCCCACAAGTGCCCTCCTCCATGCCCATCATTCCCCTTCCCCTCCCCCCACCCCCATCAGCCCTCAGTTTATTCTCGGCAACAGTACTTTTTATGCATCTTGCCAGTGTTTAGCATTATCTGGTTTTATATCATTGTGTCTGTAGTGTGGGTGAAAAACTGATATCCTATTGTTTTAATTTGCATTTCTCCAGTGACTTTAAAGTTTGAGCATTGACCATTTTTCCTTTACAAATTGCCCATTTGTATCCATTACCACTTTAAAAAGAAATGATTTGTAGGAACTCCTTATATCTTATTCATTTGTCTGTTATATATGGATGCAACTATTTTCTTGCAACCTTATTTATGTACCTTTTATACTAGCAAAGTGTTTAATTTTTATGTCAGAGAAAAATTACTTCCTGCTCCAACATTCTAACCGTGTTCTGTATTTAATTCTCACTTTTTATAGTTTTGTTTTTGGGCTTTTAAAAAGTTTTTGTGGATGGTATAACATAGGATTCTAGCTTTATTCTTTTCAGTGGCTAGGAAATTATTGTTACACTATCAATTGATTAGTCCATATTCTCCCATCTCCACCGCTGGTTTGAAATGCTACCTATGTCAACAATTGAATTTGTTTCAGGACGGTCCATCTGGGTTTTTCCATTGTATTTCTTTAATTCTTTCCCAAAACCTCATTTTTAAATCAGAGGTTCACAAGCTTTTTCTGTAAAGGATCACATTGTAAACAGTTTAGGCTTTGTGGACAATACCTAAATGAATGAATGTGGCTAGTTCAAATAAAATTTTATTTACTGAAACATGTAGTGACACAATAAATAAAGAACTCTTACAACCCACCAATAAAAAGATAACTCATTTTTAAGATACGGCAACGAATTTAAATAGCCTTTTCTCCCAAGAAGGTCTACAAATGCCTGATAAGTATATGAAAAGACACTATCACTATTGTTAATCATTAGGGATACAAATCAGAACCACAAGGAGACACTCCTTCACATCTACTTAAATAGCTAAAATCAGCAGCTCCTGGGTGACTCAGTCAGTTAAGCATCCAACTTTGACTCAGGTCATGACATCGCGGTTTGCAAGTTCAAGCCCCACACCTGGGTCACTGCTGTCAGCGCAGAGCCCGCTTTGGATCCCCTGTTCCCCTCTCTCTGCCCCTGCCCTGCTTGCTCGTTCTCTCTCTCTCTCTCTCTCAAAAATAAATAAAACTACCTTAATTATATATTTACTTTCCCAGTAAGATTTACTCTTTCAGATGTTTTCTTGTTACTAATTAGGCCACTTCTTTTCAGCTTTATGAAGTTCCTTCAATATTATTTCTTGCCAGGCTGGTTACTGTGATGAACACCTTTTTTTCCTTGTCTAGAAAAAAACTCTTGATCTCTCCTTCAATCCTTAATGATAATTTTGATGGGTAGAGTATTCTTGGTTAGAAGATTTCTTTCTTCTAGTACTTTGCATAGAGCCTGTCACTCCTTTCTGACCTGCAGAGTTTGTACTGAAACTTTTATGGGGTTTCCCTTGTGCTTAACAAGTTTCTCCTCCTGCTGCTTTTAATATTCTCTTTTTGTCTTTAACTTTTGACATTTTAATCATAATGTGCCTTGGTGTGGGTCTCTTTGGATTCATCTTATTTGGAATTCTTGGGATTCCTGGATCTGAATTTCTGTTTCTTTCTCCAAGGAGGGAAATTTTCAGCCATTATTTCTTCAAATAAGATTTTTGTCCATTTCTCTTTTTCTCTTCCTTCTGTGAGCCGTGTAATGTGAATGTTAGTCTATCATCCTATATATCCCTTAAGCTATCTTATTTCATTCTTTTTTTTTCTTTTTCTACTCTGTTTGGTGAGTTCCATTGCCTTGTCTTTAAGTAGACTGATCCTTTCTTATGTGTAGTTTTCAGCTCATCACTGCATTCTTCACCTCTGTGACTTTTGTTTGGTACCTTCTTATATATATTTACATCTCTTTGTTGAAGTTCTCACTATGTTCATCCATTCTTCTCACCAATTCAGTAAGCATTTTTATGACCATTAATCTGAACTTTTTATCAGGTAAATTATCTCTGTTTCATTAAGGTTCTTGTTTCTGAAGTTTTGCTTTCATTTGGAACATATTTCTCTGTCTCTTCATTTTGCTTGATTCTCTGTGCTGGTTTCTATATAGTAGATCTAACAACCACCTCACCTAGTCTTGAAGGAGCGGCCCCATGCAGGAAATGAACCTTTTTATTCAGCCATGCCCAGATCTTGGTCATCTCTCAACCTTCTGTTTTACTTTTAACAGCATCTAGTAGTTGAGGATGTGCCAAAACACATCAGTGTCTCAAAGGAAAGGATCTCAGTGCCTCAATTCAAGCTGACTACAAACCAGACCTTCAGGCAGCAACTTTTAAAAGTATGCAAACTTATACAGTCCTGAGGGACCACAGGCATAAGCATTGCTGACCACCAGAGCCAGGCAATCTGGAATTGTTCCCTGGGCATCAAGTGCAAAAATTTGGGCTCCAGGGAATTGTATTATGGGAGATACAGGCAAGCTAGAGCAAGGCAGAAGGAGAAGGCAAAGATGGTGTCCACAGCATATGTCCCTAGAGAGCAGTTCCATAAGCTGCTAAAGTATATGCCATTCCCAAAGCCTGCCTCTCAGTCTGAAGCTGCCAGACAAGCAAAGTGGCTTCCTTCACAGAAAGACTTGGGGCAAGGGGCTATGCCTCAGTCTACTATCTGTGCAGTGCCCTGGACATGGTAGCCTACTAAGAACCATTCCTCTCCAGCACAGTCCTATGGGACCCAGTAACACAAGCTCCTCAGGCCACCAGATCCAGGTGATTAAGAGGCAGCCCCTGGGAGTCTCCTTCAAACACCAGGAACCAAACACATGTGAGGCTCCCCTCCAGGAGACATGGCATTCTGGAACACAGTCAGGTTGAGTGTAAAGATAGCACCCACCCTCTGAAATAGCTGGAAAGGATTGCAATCAGCTCCTAGATGCATGTTTATACTAGTAGCTTGCCCTGGAGACCACAGCCATGATGATTAGCTATTAGACTTCCCTCACAGAAAGACTGAGTTTCTAGGTCTGTTGCTTCTTGCTGTGTCCTTTGAACTCTTCTCCATTGGTTACACTCCTGTGGAACCCATGAATTTAAGCCTGACTGGCCACCCCAGCCAGGCAGTATAGAGGTGTGCCCTGGCAGCAGTCACAGAAATCAGGGCATCAGACAGGGATATGAGCTCCTTTCTGCATGACATCTATTATTACAGTCCCCTGTGACCAGGATCAGGTTTTTTAAAGAGAACATTGTTTCATACGTATCTATGGACTCAGCGTGTCTGTAGGAGAAGGTGAGTTCAAGATCTTCCTATGTCACCATCTTTAACCAGAACCCACATGTCCCTCTTGCATGCAGAACTTCCCAGTGGCATCCTCCCGCACAAAATACAATGCAAAATCCTTATAATTTTTGTAAATAATCCAGCCAAAATAAAAGCTTGATCCAAAGTACAATCAAACAAGCATTTTTATTATATAAACATATCCATTGTGTAAGTACAATTTCTGATGTAATTGAGCACACATACCAAGGCACATTTGGTTGTGACTTTTCCAAAAGAATTGTAGAAATTTGTTTTGTTGAATATATATGGGTAAGTTTAAGTAGTGACTTACCTCCTGCGGTAAAATTGAGACCTTATTTCATTAGTACAAAAAAATACTTTTCAAGGCAGAAATTAGGTTATAAACA